AATGAGCGTGCTGATGCAGTTGCCAAACTGGGACATCACCTTGACCACTCTGCCTTGTTTCCTTTACCTTGCTCAGATGCTCTTGCTGGTCTTCGGTCACAATTTCTTTGTTTTTGGGAACTGAATTGGGTTACTACAGTATCTACTGATGGAAGGGGCCACCATCTAGCTTCCATTCGGTCCGGGATGTCTCCTGTCCCATGGGTTGCTTGCCGTTCTCGTCGTGCAGCAGTGGTTTTAACCCGCCTTCGTCTTGGCCACGTTGGGGTTCGTTCTTATCTTCATCGATTTGGCATGGCTGACACTCCCATGTGCCTGCACTGTGGGGTTGAAGAGTCAATTGAACACTTCCTCCTTTCGTGTACACTATATGATCATGAGAGACAGGTGATGATATCAAGTGTGCATGCCCTGGGAGTCCCTCTCACATCTGTGCGTGTGCTCCTTGGTGGAGGAAACTACCCCAGAAGAGTTCAGCACCACATAATGAGAGCAACCACCACATACCTCATGCAAACCGGTCGATTATCTACTATGTAGCTGGTAAAATGCACTGGATTAAACTGTGATTTGCCCTAAACAAGAGAATTGTTGATAACAAGGAGAGCTCATGCCAGCAAAGAAGAAAATGAAATTAAGAGAAACACGCTGAAGACTTCAACTAAATAACTATTGCTGAGTCCAGGTGTTACAAGCGGTCAACGTGCGACTTCTTTTTCACCTACAACCCGCGACCACCACCACCATTTGGTCGGGTGCGCAGCCGTAGACCAGCAAATTAACGCTCAAATCAGCCCTGGAGCCAACATCAACCATCTAAATGTTATAGATATTGTCATCCTGGCACCTAAGCAGCTGTAGTCAATTGACCTATCTCACCACACGAACTTTAAACCAACACTGCTTCAGCACACAAGCTGCTACTCCAAATAGTTAACTGTCAATACGTTGTTCTCCAATGCTTTATAACCCATACCATCACTTCTTACACATGCTGTTATCACAAGTGTCCGCTGATCACACTGCATTGTCGCAAATGTGAACTGTACCAAACGGTAATGCGTCATCACCTTACTTGATCCGCAAGACGTTAACCCCGCGTCATGGTTTCCCTGCCTTACTAGGTATCCCCCAGCATGACTCCACCATTATCGCATGACTAACTGAAGGCTTTTCTCGCAGACCTTTGATGCTTATCCGAATCAGGTTAGGTTAAGTTAGGTTAGTTTACAACTCCTATAGATCCTCTTTTCATAGCGTAATGCAGTCAAGTGAGCAGAAACTAAGAAAAGCTGTCTGGCAGTCAGTGAAAAAAGGCGGGGAGACGGGGTATGCATGGAGGTAGAGTTATGCCGGGGGAAAACAGCTGCGACGAACGGAAGCATAGTGGCAAAGCAGAGAGTTTTTTAGACTCTCCCTCAAGTTTGTTTTTGAGTCCTATAAGTAGACCAGTAAAGTATCATGGATACCAGGCTACCAGCATCATCATACATAAGAAATTGGTTCAAATCTTGAGTAAATGAGGAAATAAAAAATGAACCGATTCTAAAAAATCTCTGGTTTGCCACTATGAACAAAAGGGCTGGAGGTGGAGTGCGGCTGTGTATCAACAGCGGTATGGCGTAGGGACAGGGAGTTTCTTACCGAAAATCGTGATTAGGTTAGACGGCATGGGATAGAGCTGTTGGAAGGTTTTCAATACGGCGTAGAGCCGAGAGCGATTGTATTGGTGGCTTACTTCTCATTAGCTCACTGGTTAATTTCCATGAAGGGGATTTGTACTATTGGCTTATAACATATAATCCCTTAGTCTACGCTGCCCTTTAGCAGGCTTATGCACGGAAAGGATGAAAGATATGCTGGTCTTGGGCAATGCTGGCCTCTGGCATGCATCCCATTTGGTCCAGGTCCTTGTTTGAGTCCGTACATCGTACCTCGACCGAGGCTCGACGGCTCCTCCAAATGTTGCATTGTTGCAGAGATAGCTAGAGGTCAGCAATCAGCATAGCCCAAGTCCACAGTGCGATTCATATACCTTCCCGAGCGTAACGCAGCCAGGTGCTGAATGCTGATGGTTGGCGTTGGGCCCAGGGCCTGTTTACGAGTCAATTTCATGACCCACGGGCCACGGCTACGGCTGTGCTCCCGAGAAACAGACGGTTCCATAATTTCATGAGCTGGAGTAAGAGTAGTGAGCTCACAGAGCTGCACTCCATAGTGTGGGACTGCAAGCTACTGCCACAGTGCCACTTATCTCGCACAAACTGGTCGTCTAACTACCTTATAGTTATAGCTAGTAAAGACTGAAGAGCACTGGATCTTAATCATTAATGACAATCTGCCTACCAGGTAACCAGGCTATCATCGCTTCACGTCATGAGAGACTTCTGACATACATAGTGGCAAAGCAGAGAGTTTTTTAGACTCTCCTTCAAGTTCATTTTTGAGTCTTATAAGTAGACCAGCAAAGTATCCTAGATACCAGCATTATCATACATAAGAAATTGTTTTAAATCTTAAGGAAATTAGAAATTAACTTATTCTAAAAAATCTCTGGTTTGTCATTATGCCAGGTGTTACAACTCACAACTAAAAGTGGTCTGCGACTCTGCACATGTGCATGAGTGCATGACTTCTTCACCTTGAACCAGTCAATGCTGTCATCAAATATCAATCAGGGATTCAGGGTCACAGGGTGCCTGACAGCCTGAGGCTGAGGGTGGTGGAAGAACATTACCATTAGGTCCAAGACCTATGAGCTTAAAAAAACTACTTTACAATGTCCTCAACAAATTCTAAATATTATGCAACTTTCAAAGCATTTGAGCTCTTCATTATTAAGGTAATGTGAAGTAAAAAGTTGATGCTTGATTTAACTTATTTAATTAGGTATGAATTATACAGTATATGTATACCACTACCAGGGCGCAGAGGGTGGATGCAGCGTCGCCAATATATGGGTTTTTAAGCCCTAACTAAGCATTGCCGGGTAATTTTAAGATGCGTTGCCGGGTAATTTTTAATGAAAAGCCATTTATGCTGAGTAATGAAAAACTATTACAAGCCACTAACTTATTTACAAGGTTGCATGCACATGTTACCCCAAATAACTAATATTACCCTAAAAACAGTCCGATTGTACAGCAAGTGTCAACTGAACATGTGATGAAGTCTGACCGCTCTAATGTGTAAATGTGACCGCAACTACTTAATCGTAAGCTTGATGTTTACATTTTTTTTGGCGGGAACTCATTGCAACTGATTTCCAGACAAGCTTCACTGCATCCTGATCCATCCAACATATCGGAAACCTTACTTTCTTTTAAATAGTTGGTCGAAGACTGACAAATATATTAAATGCAAGAATTTCAATCTAAATGCAGGTTTGGTGATTTTTTTGATTTAAAAAAAAAAAATAAAAATAAAAAATTAATGATTTTTTTTATTTTTTCAACTTTTTTGTCTTTTTGAAGTGTTATTTTTTATGTTGCAATTAGCCTACTAACAATAACAGTATATGGATCATAATGGATGTTAAAAGGGGCACTTATTGCATTCAATAATGGCCACGAGGCCGAGGTGGTGTTTACCAATTATTGGTAAGTCTATTCATTAGCTTTGTAAAGTTTGTATGGAGCAAGGTAATGAGCTAAATATTGATCATTTAAATGGCTTCAATATACAAAAACACTTCTGGAAAGCAGATCTTCCAAACATTGAAGAGTCACATAACAGATATGTAGCTGATAGCACAGTGCACAGCACAATCAATAGATCTACTAGTTTTATGTCCTATAAATATGCCAGACTCTACCCTCTATACACACCGGCTAGTAGAGACTGTAGCTGATAGCACAGTGCACAGCACTATCAATAGATCTACTAGTTTTATGTCCTATAAATCTACCAGACTCTAATTTCTATACACACCGACTAGTAGTGACTGACTGCACTGTTCCCATTTAATTCAGACCAATAAACCAATATTGAACATAAACTGAATGATAACCAAACTAACTTCATACGACTTGAAACGAGACTTTTAAGGTATGAGAAAATCTAATACTGTTTGAATTAGACATGTGCACAATGCAAATATTTTATATCCATTCACAGCATTTTACCATTTAATTATTTTATATATAGTCTTATAATTGTAATTGTTTTGCTTCTAGTTTTAAATTCACAAGATTGAAATTAAATATTTTAATTAGAATACTCGTATTAGGGTGGAAAATCTTTCTAATTGCCTAAAAGGTCAATACAATCTCAATCTCTCAATATACAGAGTGGGGGAGAACAGATTGAGCAGTTTTGAGGTAAAATAAAAGAGTAATGGAGGTACATAAAGAAGAAAGTTTATTTTCCTAGAGGTTAGCATAACATACCATTTAGAATACTTATGTTTTGAAAACAATATCTGGAAGATGGGGGCTGTTAATTAGCTGCAACACACTGTTGGAGTCATTCTCGGAGGAGGGAGTAACCGTGACAGTAAATTCCGATTGCTATGCTGCAATGTTTCAAAATTTCTTGCAGCCTATGATGGAAAACAGTGTTGAAAATTAAGCATTGGGAGACATATGATTCCATCAGGATGGGGCTACAGCTCACACAGCCCGAATGTCACTCAATGTTTTGAAACGCATGTTTCCCGGAGGTCTGGTGTCTCTTAGGGGTGATTTGCAGTGGCCTGCAAGGTCACCTGATTTGAGGATTTTGAGCATTTGCGATTTCTTTCTTTGGGGACATCTAAAGGAAAGGGTGTTCAGAAGTCACCCTCACACCCTACCACAGCTAAGGGAATGGATTATTGCAGCAGAGGTTATGGCCATACCTCGCCATATGTGTGAACGTGCTATAGAAAACTTCCGAGAATTACTCCAACAGTGTGATGCAGCTAACAAACCCCATTTTCCTGATATTGTTTTCAAAACATAAGTATTTTAAATGGTATGTTATGCTAATCTTGAGGAAAATAAACTTTCTTCTTTATGTACCTCCATTACTCTTTTATTTTGCCCCAAAACTGTTCAATCAGTTCTGCCCCACCCTGTATAAGCTAGCTAACACATTTAAATTGTATGTATATTGTAATAATATATAACAAATAGTCAAATAGTTAAAGACTACTTATAGCCTTATAAGAATTATCTAAGCTGCTAGCAACATACAATGTATTGCACACTTGATGCCTCTGTACCAAAAACATTCAATTTATTGGAACCTAATACACACTAAAGGCAACAAGTCTATATACCAATTTGTCATTCATAGCACATTTATACTAAACCATGAATAACAATACCTCAATATAAATTACAGACTGCCACTCAATATATTTAAATATATGAAAAAATAAAAAAAATCATGATTTTTCATAAAAAAATCAAGTGATTTAATCACATGATTTAATCATTTTGATTTAATCATTGCCAACCCTGTCTAAATGTGTCGGCAAGATCTTCTGAAGGCGTAAATTTTGCTACTGATGCGACGCCAAAGATCTTGCAATATTCATCCACTCTCTGAGTCTCTGCTCAGTGGTATGTATATCTAAAATATACTTCTTCATCCATGAATTAATTTTTCATGTTCAGAACTCAGAAGTGCCACAAATTCTCCAAAACTTTACTTTTCAGTCCTCACTTCGTGCATCTATAAAATCCAGGGTGCAAGCAGCATTGCCAAGATATGGTTTTTTACCCAAAGCATCACCAGCCACTTTCAAGATCCGTCACTGAGTAATTTTTAATAAGAAAGTGCTGCAAGGAAATTTGATAGTATATCCCTTACTTAGGCTTACTATCCACATACTGCAACATTTACACACATCGCAACTGATTTCCGGACAAGCTTCACTGCATCCTGATCCTTCCGGGGTACCGGAACCCTTACTGTGTGCGCTTGCGGTCCTTCAGATTTCCAGTAATTTGATAGTTATTTCTCATATGCAATAATTCCAATCCAAATGTGTTGGCATTTGGCAAGATGTTCAGAAGGCATAGATTTTGCTGCAGATGCGTTGTCAAAAATCTTTTGATATTCACCCACTTTGTGCACGGTAGTATAAAATATCTAAATGGCTTCTACCTAAGACTACTGTAAGAAGTATCCTGTGTCCAATTGAATTGTAAAAAGTGCCCAATTGAATTGAAACTAAAAATTTGCAATTCTGCATGGATATTTTGAATGGTTGAAATTGTTTTCTTAAGTTTTTGACTACTGAATGGAAATAACTATTTTTACATCTTATTTAGTTTTAAGAATTCTGAATTAGGACCGATTTTTTGCATGAAATTTATAATGTACAAAAATTTTTTCATATTCTGTACTGTGCAATTAGTCAATTTAGTGTACATATATATGCAGTATGGAATCTGTATCGGTAATATATTATCATGTTAACAAAAGATAATCTATCAAAAAACTTACCAGTTACCACCTTACACCTTCCACCAAAGTGAAAATTGATACTCATTACACTGAGCTTGTCAGAAACTGCGGAAACCCGGACAGCCGCGCTTCCTTTATCTTGCGTGTGGTTCGAAAACCAATAAAAAGTCGTCGACTCCTCCCTCCAATACATACACTAGTCGTGTATCCGTATCAACAAATTTTTGTAATTAATATGTTCCAAGATAAAAAAAAATTACATCAACTTTTGCAGAAAATTCTCACAATTTCACCAATACCAACAAAGTTCTCGAATCCATATAGAATGATGGGATAAACTGCTAATCTTTCACGGCGTATGGCAACATTGTGTTGCCATGTTGACATTAGACAAGACGGTTTCAGACACCTTGTTTTGGTGTTGTGAAGTTTGATTTCACAATAAAAAGATTTGATCCACATTCCACACTGAGTCATTTAAATGATGGAAAATTGTTTCAAAATTTAAACACCTATTGATACTCTTCTAAATACAAATATTTTTTTTCCCCCTATTATGTCAAATTCATCCTAAAAACTTCACTTCAAATCCTGAATGATTTTGTCTCCCATTGCAAATTTTCAAACGTATCGTGTCTTTCAGAAAATGCCCGTTGTTTAGAAGGGGGGCAATCAATGCATTATGATTTCTGTCTTAGAAATTCGTGTACGAGTATTTTAAATTCGTGTACGAGTATTTTAAATTCGTGTACGAGTATTGTAAATTCGTAATATGATACATGAACAAATTACAGATAACCAATATTATAGATAGATAAATATGATGTAAAAATTATTGATAGGTTATAATAAAAGTAACCATATTTAAAACTGTTGCACAATTTATAGGACCAACACTTGTACAAAATGCTCATCATTTGCTGAGGCTGGTTATATATACCAGTCCGTGGCAGATCAAAGCAACACATTGGCAGCGGAACATGGGTTGGTTAGAATGGTCTTGGCACATATTTCTACAGCTGCGCGCTGCTGCGGGTAGAAATAAACATTGAAAGAACAAAGGTAAAATTGTCATCAATACATCCTAAATTAAATGACAATCATCATAGATCATCAATCATCATAGAAGCTGTAAGAAAAGAAATGTTTTTGATGTAAAAGAATGGTTTTAATTTAAAAGAAATGCCATACTTGATTTTCAGAAATATGATACAAAAATTAATGATCCCTATTAGAATTTTACAGACATGATGCTTTCAGAAAAAGTTGGTATGGTACCTATTTGAAATTTACAATTTTACAAGTTGCTTAATTAAACGCAGTTCAGAAATTCAAAATCACCTAGTAGTATGAATTTAAGTCCCATGACTGGAGAAGACCTGAAAATTTATTGTGCTAACATGTAAGCTTGATATAAGCTTTTCATCCTTTTGATGAACAAAGTTTATTTAGGTTCTATTGACCATAATAGGTAGAACAATGCGACATATTAGCGGCCATCCAAAAATCGGTTGATGGCTTTGACTCATGATACCACTGTACATATATTGCAGTAGAAACATCATCCAAAAGTTTCAATGCAAAGATTCTTATTTAAAGGATAATGAATCGAATCGTAATTGTTTAATCCCACCTATAGATATAAATGAACATCTTTTGATTTATTTTAAAAACTTTTCATAAATTTGCATAAGAATATGGTATTTCTTTTGAAATCAACCATGTCAAAGTAACGAAATAATTTGTTTAAGTTTTAGGCTTTTGAAAACATTTCAAACCGCTATCAGAAATATCATAATTAATCATCTTGCATTGAGTACGTATATGAATGTTATGCACCAGGCTGCGATCGTCAGTTGCATGCCGTCTATTGTTGTGGTTTCATGGTATGTGGTCTCGCTCTAAATCACGTGTTTAGTGTGCATCATGGAGAAGTCTTCTTGGCAGCATAATCACGGTAGTTGTAAATTGTAATTACTTAAGGAAGTTTAGTTCATTGCAGTCAACTTAAGAGACATATCTTTAACTAACTAATACTTTTTATAATTTTAATTGTTGAATGAAAGCTGCAGGGACGCAACTTTGAAGTGATTACTACTTTATAGAAACTTAGCATACCCATACGTGTTTTAGGCCTTTAAGAAGTTTTTTTTTCTCAAATACCGTTGAATTGAAAAAGTGGTCTAAGTGTATCAGGAATAATATATGAACCGTCAATTTTAGAATTCCATCCTGTATATGTGTATTATTACATGTTGGAATTCTAGGAAACGGTTGGTCATTTAGATGCACCAGGATCACTGCAGGAAGGCCAGAGCGCTCCAGTGCTACTCACTTGCTGAGCAGGAGGGAGAGTGGGATGGCCGCCGTGCCGCGCGCTCCAATACAAGCAGGCTGGCAGCAAGCTAGTCCCTCTACAATAGGAGCAGGACAAGAATGCTGCTGCTGCTGCTGCCAGCCTGCTTGTATTGGAGCACGCAACCATCCTGCTCCTATTAGAGCGAGGCTGTGAGCATGCTCCTATTTTTGGCCACCTTGCTCCTCAAATACATAGGTACATGCTCATTTAGAATGCCATCATGTATGTACAGATGTATAGTCTCAGAAACTCAGACTAGAGAATGTAGTCTCAGAGTGGAGAGTTTTGGAGAATTAGAATTGCACTTGGCACTGCGGAATTTGTACCAAACCTCAGAAGTAATAATAGTGTACCATCAACTGGTGTGACTTTTGCCACCGGGGGTGACTTTGGTCACACCTAAAACAGAAACAAATGGCAGCAAAACAAAATAATAAACATTGGTCAAAGTCACCCCAGTCACTTTGGCCAACATTTATTATTTTGTTTTGCTGCCATTTGTTTCTGTTTTAGGTGTGGCGGAAGTCACCCCCAGTGGCTTAAGTCACCCCAATTGACAGTACCGGTATATACTAAATTGCCATGCTTGTAATGCTACTAGTTCCTAGTTAGGAAGCTTAATTATTTGAAATTAAAAAACCCACATCACATGTACTTAAAAAGCCAGTGTGCTAAAGAAATACACATGAATTTCGCCTTTAAGAATAATATCCCTTCATTTCACAAATTTGAATGTAGGCTTGTACTAATGAGTAATGTTCTTAGAAGTAGGTTTATGGACTTTTGAGTTGATTTTTATGCCCAATATAACATCAAACATGAATTTAGTCTCAAAAAACACACTTCTCCTTAATATAATTGAAATACAAATTTTTTTAAGACTAATGTGGGTTATTTTTATTTATATTTCATTTTGAGAAAATGCAGCATGCAATTTAAATTAACAGCAAAGTAGAAATTGATGTTAAAGTTGCAGTTTAGGTTGAGCTAACATAATATAGTCAGAAAAATATCTCTGTACAGTTTATTTCTCTAGCAATAATGCAACAAAAATGAACAAAAAGCATCCAAGCATCCACTAATGTGCAAAAAATGCAAAGTTTATTTTTGATGTGAAGGAAATATCTAGTAGTCGCTTTTTTTTCATTGCATTATAATAGGTCTGGAATGTCTATCAAACAAGTTGGGGGGCCTAGTTTTTTTCTACCCCCTGTTGCCATGGTTTTTTTTAGAGTCAGGGACTATACATGATATGACAAGTAAGGTATTTCATTACCTATGTTTCAGGTAAAAGAGGTTGGGTGCGTGGTTCATGCCAGTCTGCATTATTCTTTCCCAGCGGAGGAGAAGAACCAAGGGAATTTTGTGCAATATCTCAGTGACCTCATCGATGACTTGAAGGTGGGTTCAGATCTTAAGGAGATTTTATAGATAAGTGATGATGCAATGTAGTTATTTAGTTCTGCATATTATAAAAGGATAATTTTCATGTAATAATCTTGATTATTGAATCTTTTGGGGTCCTTTAGATCTTCTGTAGATGCCACATTGTTATTATTGAGATGTCTTGTCTTGGGTTAGTGATAGGTAGTCAACTTATCTGGTTGCATTTTTCAGTGATTTTGTTTTACCCAAAATGCTTATCATTTTATATCTCACTCTAGGTTGAGCTGGAATCCCTGCGTAAGATTTGCACCTATGAGAATGGTGCTGTTAATTCTGAATCAATTTCGGATTTTAACACAAAAAATGACTTGAAGTCAAGTGGGATGAATATTTCTGAAGTATTTTCAGAATATAGCTGTCAAAAATCTAGACCTGCAGAACGCCATGAAGTGAATAAGTCTCATGATCCAATATCCATCAAACATGCTGAAGCTGCAGCCAAGTTTATCTTGCATCATTCAACTACAACTGTCCCTACATGTCAGATAAATTCTTTTCCTTCATTACCACAAAAATTTCCTTCTGTGTTAATGGTTGAAAAGCTTTCCACTCCCACAAAAAAATTAAAACTGGATACAACTGTACAGAATCTGGAAGTTCTTGCTTGTTCTTCATCAACATTTCCAACTATGGTGCAACCCTCTTCATTATGTCCTCCCATTTCTTGCAGTGCTGTTGCTTCCAAACATGCAACTCCTGAATCTTCATCCCCATCTCATTCTCAATCTAATCTAAATGTGTTGATGCGAGCTCAAACAGATGACAATTGTCTGAAGCATGCCTTGCCCTATGCTCAGAATATTACCTCGGTTCCTACATTATCTCCCATTAATTTTTCTGCATCCATGAAGAATCCTCAACCAGATATTGGGTTTTGTGGTTCTGGGGCAGGTGATTTTACCAGAACATCAACTTTGTCAAGAAAAGAAAATAATAGCCAAAAGTTTGCTCACTCTCAGCAACCTATATTTATCAATGGCAGGGCTCTTTCAGAGCCAAGGATTATTCCTGACAAAGCTAATGTGCAATCAAGTGAAATATCAACAGCAAACTGGAACATGTCTGCTCAGACGGATGTGTCAAGTTCAAATGACAGCTCATCTAGTGAAGTGTTGGATAATTTGGCTCAAATGGCTGCTAAAACCAAGGCTTCTGTGTCTCATTTGAATAATTGTAATGATGATGGGAATGCCAGAACTGAGATTGATCAAGCACAAGAAAATGTATTATTGCACAAACTGGTACCTTATGAAGAGCGAGTAAAAGAGTTATGCAGACAAAATTGGAATGAAGGCAACGCAGAGGGAAATGGCTCCACTTCTTCAACTAACCTCCCATTCTTTGGGTGCAAGATTTGCTACTGTGCATTCATGAACATTGAACGTTTTTCAAAGCACACTTGCAAGTCACTTGAGGACAATGAGAAATCTTGCTCTAAGGTGAGCTTACTTGTTCTTTTTCTCACATTAATGCTTGGAATGTTTGAGTATATACCTCATAGTTTGTAATTGCTTTATTTCCACTTATGTTATTTCTGACTCAAAATAATAGTCTGAAGTTGTCTACAAATTATATTGTATCATTAGAATCTTATTTGGGATCGAAGTAAGTTGGAGCAGCTGAAGAAGTTCATATGTGGCACGTGTGGCGTGGAGTTTAGGTCTGTGCGTCGGATGACCTACCACTTGTCCAAGTGCAGTCCTGGCCCCTATTGCTGTGGCGTGTGCGCCTCATACTTCCTCCAGAGGCCTGCTTTGTTCCTGCACATGAAGACCCAGCACAGGTATTCCTGAGATAAATAATTTGCTTAGTTAGTTACCTATACCAATTATTGTAGTTATACTAAGATCCCCATTTTGGGTCTGTGCTACTGTTCCCATCTAATGGACACTAAAAAAGTGGCAAGCAAAAAAGGCTTATTGTCTACAATTGTGGGAGTGTGCTAGCAATCTGTTTGATCATTGTTTTCTTTGTGTGATATGCTTGCACTATTATATACGGTACACATTATCCTGGTTTTATGTCCCAGAAACGTGCTTGTTTAACAAACATGGTGTAAATGTAGGGTGGTAGTGTAAATGTACCATGGGTAGTGTAAGAATATGGCTAGTTGTAACCGAGCCACATAATTTGGACACTCATCTGCAAAATATTAAGACTTAGTAGTGCTGGTAAAGTTAAAATTTTTACCTTTCATAGGGGAGATTTCCCACTTTATTCATTGTTAATTACTCTGTTTGAGCATCTGATTTACTAAATTGATCGAGAAGTGTATATTCTCAAAAATTCTGTGATATCATGAAGAATCTCGTAGAAATGCAGTTACAAGGTTGGCTCTCTAATAAAGACTTGATGTGTCATGATGTCCCAGAAGTGCAAGCTGCCACGTGTGTGAGGAGTGTGGCAAAAAATTTGTCCGGCGTTCATCTCTTGAGAAACATGTGGTCCAGCAACACGAAGATGTGGAAGCAACTGGTCCTTACAGGTCAGCATGCTCAGTGCAGGCTAGCATTTGATTGCAGGTCAGCAGGACAACTGAAATATAGCATTCACATTGTTGCCGGGTCTAAAATGTCTCGCGCCGCAGGTGAGATAAACCTGTTATCTGCTTCTAACTAACTGGCAACAACCCTACTCTGAATGAAGGAAAATGAAAGACTGGTTCTAATGCAAAATGAATTAAAATATGGGACAGTAAATAACCACAAAACTTAATAAGATTGCAAATGAAATGGTTGTTTTAATTCAGAGATGAATACAACCAAAGTAAAATGCAAGGAAACACAAGAAATTAATATCAATGAAATTAGCAAAATAACAAGGACAACTTAACCTAAATTATCAATGAATAAATGCTATAAATTTCTATGCCACTCACCAGTGCAACTGAGTGCCCAGGCTGAGTAGAAATACTTCAAGAATGATACTTTACTTTGAGTCTGCAGATTGTACTTTAGTCATCTACACTGGAAGAATAAAAATATTGAATTTAATTTAAATAGAGTTGGATTGAGAACTAAATAAATATGATAATTAGTAAAGAAAGACATGAAGGTTGGGCTACACAGTAGCCTAATTTAACCTCCGGTAACAACATTACAGGTGAGAAGGACAATTGCAAGGTAGCATCCAGATTACAGGTCAGCTTATCAAATGGAAGTGTGAACCATGGAAGTCGTTTGCTGTCAGCCGCGTTCATTTTATTAATTTCACGTGCATTTATTTTTGTACAAACCTGAGGTATAATTGTACAGCCACGTCTGGAGTAGGTAATCACCTCAATAACATTTGAGTCCAACCTTACTGTATTGGTCATGATGGAAAATGGTTAGGTTTGAGTGGCTGTGAGTCGTGTAGTCAGTTGTGTACCGCTACCCTAAAGTGAGGTTCCCACCTAAGCTCACTCTGCTTTACTGACTCTAGAGATCTTGTACCCTACTTCTATATCGTGTGGCTGTGCTTCAGAAGCTTTATCAAGCAGTGTAATGATCATGAATGTCTGTTTCGCTGATTCTGGAACTTCAGACTTGCTTTTCTTATTAAATTGTTCTTTACTGAAATAAAATTGCACTTTATCTACGTAAACTGATGTTTTAATGAACTGAATCCCGGTGCAATACAAAACTAGCGACAGAAACTTTATTCAGATTGGTCGCCATTTAACAAGATAGTGACCAGCGTTTGGTCGTAGAGCTCATGCCTACTGACATACTGAAAAGTGTGGTGGACGTCAGGTTATAGAAGATAGCATACAGATTGCAGCTCAGCTGGTTGATTGCTAGTTGGCATTAAAATTATATGTCAATAATAATTGCTTATTAGCATTTAGATAATAATACAGAGTACTATAAAATGGGGTAACTTAGACTACTTTTTTTTAAATGATGCCATTTTTTTACTAGCTAAATTAAACTTAAATTGAAAAATGCAAAATACAGGTCTATACTTTAGGTTCACTCACCATAAATTACTGGCTACTGCCTCTCATAGTTTTTATGTAATTTAAAAAAAAATGATGGTCTTTGTTACCCCAGCTCCTGGGGTATCTTAGACTGGGTGGTAAAATCAATTATATTTTTTGGTAAAATAACTCCAGGTTTTGGTGCATTTTAGTAGAACTCTACTAGTTACATATGCAAATGACAAATTTGAGGAAAGTGTCATAGTTTGCAAATGGGGGGCACCATCCCCGAATGCGGGAACTTAGACCACCTAATGTCAGCTGTGAAGGGGTAATATTGACCGGCTTGGAAATTAAGCAAAAATTACCATATATAAAACTCGGTAGAGTCTGAAACATAAAGAAAAGTCATTAATAGGTGTATCAAACATGTAATATGTTATATATGGTAATTTTAAATTAATTTCCAAGCCGGTCTATGTTACCCCGTCAGGGCTGACATTAGGTGGTCTAAGTTCCCCTATTCTGGGGCGGCGCCCCCCATTTGCAAACTTTGACACTTTCCTCAAATTTGTCATTTGCATATGTAACTAGAAGAGTTGTACTACAATGCACCAAAACCTGGAGTTATTTTACCAAAAAATACAAAAATTGGAGGGGGTTCTATGACAGGCTTTAAATAATAGCTCTTTTTTGTGGGTCACATTTTTAATTTTTTAACCTATTAGATATGCATAATTTTTTATCTTTCTATTGTGTTACGTAGCCTCAGTATTAGGCCTTTAATGCCCATTGACAAAATTTTTCTATGTCAAATAGTTTTTGAGTTTTGGGGGTTTTTGTTTAAAAACTAAAAGCAGTCTAAGTTACCCCATTTTACGGTACCTATTATGCTATTAATGCCAAATTTTAATCTAGTTTACTAGTCATCTTGTTGATTAGGAGGGGGTATTCCTATTACTGGCTCTGGCTGTACCCTGGGTTGCCAGATGCTCTATTTTTCTGTCTAAAAGCCACCATTTATTTTTTTCAATTGCGTTGGCCATCTAAAATTTATGACAGCAGGATATCCTTTTTAAATTTTAAAAAGTGCAAAAGAAAATGAAACTTATACCAGAACCTACAAATAAACTACTTGTATATATTGATTTAAATGCCTTTTTTGGCTGCGGACAAAAGGCCATCTGGCAACCCTGGAACTTGAAACTCACATCTGCCAGAACCACCTGGGCAGTGTCTAAACTTGTTAATTTTAACTGAGACTTCCGTAATTTTGATCACTTTTCATATTTTTCTAATTGCTTTCTTTGTGTGCTGGTATCATAATAGCCATAACTTGAGCTCATCATCTTTGTGTCAGGTGTGATGTGTGCCCAAAGAAATTCATCCGCCGCATCTACTTGACCAACCACAAGATCAGGATACACCAGCTGGCCAAGCCCTTCTCCTGCGAGGTGCTAAATGCTGCATCAAATTTATATTATCAATTATTCTATAATTAAGTTCAATTAACCAATGAATCCTCATCATTAATCCAAAATTTTGTGCTTTTTGGGATGTAATTCCTTGTGTAGACTGCTTTCATCAAACCTGATTCAACTACTGTCACCAATGCTCATTTTTCAACTACTGGTCACGTAATAACTTCTAACAATGAATATCTGCTGTGGTACATGCTACTCAGTTTTCATCAGTGAAAGTTGCTAAGTTGTCATTTGACATCAGTTTATAAATGAATCAGTTTTTAATTTCAATCCTTTCTGCTGACAGGAGTGTGGGCGCGGGCTGCTGTCAGCGGCATTGCTGGAAACACACAAGCGCTGCGTGCACGCCTCTGCTAGCAAACGCCACGTGTGCTGTCACTGCCACAAAACTTTCACTAGGAAGGAGAAGCTAATACTGCATGAGCGTAGACACACAGGTCTGTCACTAGGAAGGAGAAGCTAATACTGCATGAGCGTAGACACACAGGTCTGTCACTAGGAAGGAGAAGCTTGTACTGCATGAGCGTAGACACACAGGTCTGTCACTAGGAAGGAGAAGCTTGTACTGCATGAGCGTAGACACACAGGTCTGTCACTAGGAAGGAGAAGCTTGTACTGCATGAGCGTAGACACACAGGTCTGTCACTAGGAAGGAGAAGCTTGTACTGCATGAGCGTTCCATTCACTGTGCCAGGCAGCAGGAGTTTCCTCCTAATAGATATTTGTAAACCTCCCAATCCCTGAAGTGTAATTTGCTGGAGTAAACGTGCACTACTTGATATGGTTTCAAATGATTATTACTGACCAATATGTTACGTATAGCAAGATTACTTGAATATTGATGGAGTGCATTTCTTATGCATATCACGTTTCAAATTAATGTGTGACTTTTCCAGACTGGGATGAAGCAGACAAATTATTTAAAGGATTAGCTCAATATTATTTAACAGCCAACTTTCGTCCCTCGGTCCTGCATTGGTCTCTTTCTTCCTTGTCTCCTTCCTCTATACATACTGAAATTCTTTTCTGTTTGTTATTGTTTTTTTATTAAAAGATATAAAATAATTGATTAAATAAATAGATGGCTGGTGATATTGTACGGTAGTTAGAGACCATCATTATACTATTGTTTCCTGAACCCTATCGCAACAAACACCCTCAAGCACACCACATTACCAGTGACGCTTTAGACTTTGTGTTCCGTAACTGTAAATTATTCTTACTCAACTACTGATAATTATTTTGTAACATAATCATGAAGTGATAATCCGCAAGCTCCCAGTGTTATTAAGGGCTAATATTTCGTCTGTGTTTGAGATATTAGTTTTTCAGGGGTTAATGATGAGTGGTAGAAATGTAGAATATATGGTCAATTTAGTCATTAATATCCCTGTAGACTATATTTGTACGAGATATTGTTCCGTTTGTGTCAAAATTTGGCAGAAAATTCGAAGTTAGAGTTAGATTAATTGGCTCTAGAATTAAATCACATTTAAATAAATTTTCCAAATTAAATAATCAGATATTACCGGCAACAGTATCTGGTGAAAATATCAGAATTGCTATTGTTTGCGGGATATTACTATTCATTCAGTTTGAGGAACAAGCTTAGGTCCATTTAATGATGAAAATTGTCCAGATTTCTTTATTATTGAATTGAAAATTAACACAAACAAAGAAAACAACAAAACACAAATAATAAAAACACAAATAATAAAGAAAAATATTCGAATGTTCTCCATTTTCTCTGTAAATGTTCTTGTGTGAATTTATTATGCACTGACACAGGAACTAATGATAGAGCAGGTTTAGGGATTATTTTCATAAAAATATGATACAATTTCTTAAAAATTCTTGCATATCAGGTGAACGTCCGTACCGCTGTGAGATTTGCAATGGCAGCTTCGTGAGCAAAAGCAAACTGCAGGAGCACAGAGCCCGTCAACACCAGCCGCTCCACTCCCGACGCCGGCACCGATGTGGTCGCTGCGACAAGTCCTACGTTAATGCCGCTGACCTCAGGAAGCATGGCAGGTGCTCTCAATATCTTGGGGGGACGATTACTGCTTAAGTGGAGACAGCGGTCCTTGGTGAGATGGATGAGGTGGTCACTAAGGTGGAGACAGCGGTCCTTGGTGAGTATGGATGAGGTGGACACTAAGGGGGAGACAGCGGTCTTTGGTGAGATGGATGAGGTGGTCACTAAGGTGGAGACAGCGGTCTTTGGTGAGATGGATGAGGTGGTCACTAAGGTGGTGACAATGTTTCCTAATGAGTGAGATATACAAGGACCTACTCATCCATCTCGCTCTGATAAAGATTCCGCTGAACAGAAAAACTTTCTTAATGCTGGTGCGCCTGACGTTCTAAAGCTATCTGTAGGAAGTAAATGATCAAAGGGGGTGCAGCTTCTAGAGAAGGAATAGTGTAAAATATGGCGGCGCTATCTCTCTAGGTGTATGCAACAAAAATAAAGTGTTGCGAATGGACCAAAAAACTTTAACCTTTGACTTCTTCAAATTAGGCTTGAGAAGAATTGGGTTCGACTCCTGAGAAGAAAATCAATTGTTTGAGCTTCATTTGACAACTTTGGTGTGCTATTTGAATAACGATGTAGTATTCACGTATTGATACGTCGTACGATTCGTTATACAGCGCGTTGTGGAACTTTTTTGATTCGTTAGGAAGCTTGTATTTTGTGGCTGTATGAATTGATGACTTTCTAGTGAATTACTCACAAAGTTAAAATGGCATGCAGTATGAAAAATAAGGATATCCAGATAAGGTTGAATTTAACAGAAACTCTTCGTTGATGCTCATTTGTTTCTCTTGCAGCCGAGTCCACGGCCACCATGCAGAGACCAGCCTCGCTGCAGAGACCAGCCTCGCTGCAGAACACAGCCTCACTGCAGAGACCAGCCTCACTGCAGAACACAGCCTCACTGCAGAGACCAGCCTCGCTGCAGAGACTACCCTCACTGCAGACCACTGCCTCACTGCAGACCACCGCCTCACTGCAGACCACCGCCTCACTGCAGACCACCGCCTCACTGAAGACCACCGCCTCCCTGCAGACCACCGCCTCCCTGCAGACCACCGCCTCCCTGCAGACCACCGCCTCACTGCAGACCACCGCCTCCCTGCAGACCACCGCCTCCCTGCAGACCACCGCCTCCCTGCAGACCACCGCCTCCCTGCAGACCACCGCCTCACTGCAGACCACAGCTCGTAGTAAATGGGTCTGATTTACCTACTTCATGTCGCTGGCCACCGCGTCATAATTGAGTTAATAAAATAGCAATAAAATATAATATTAAATTTTAATTAATAGTTACAATTTAATTTAAAATAAAATAAAATAACCATAAGACAGAGTATAGTGAGAGGAAGTATGGTCTGTGGTAGAACTTTGTTGTTATGTAATAACGCGCGTTACAAATGAGCAGAATGTGCACAACTTGAGTACCGATCACGAATTAAGGAGCGTAAACTAAGCAGCGTGAGAAGAACAATCATTTACTGTACAATCTTGAAAAGAATTATCAGAATTTATTAAAAACCCGTTATTAATTGAATCTCTGGATTGTAGCAACGTGGCTGAAGATATTCTTTTCTGTAATTCAGCCAAAAGTATTGTAAAAAAATTGTAAAAAGCACTTTACGCGAAGTGATGCGTAAAGTTCGTTATTGAGTTGCGTATTTGTATGGAATAAATACACTCAAACAGCGGGTAGAATATGTAATGAAGCAAGAACCCTTATTTATACATGCCATCTCAGCCCAAAGATCAAAAGACGAACTAACCAAAGATTTATTTACAACCGAAGCCAGTTTATTATCAAACTAACGATAAGTATAATAAATAATGAATACCTATTGAAGCGTTCTGATTTGTTAGGTGTGATAATAGTGATCTACGTTAACAAGCAATGAACAAGTTTTAATTATGATAAAAGTATAATAAAATCACTAAGAATGTAACGCTCAACATCGGCAATTGACCGATTCCGAAGCACGATTATCGAGCTATAAACTATAGACAAACCTGCAATGTTATTATCATTATCCTTACCTCAGCATTCTTGCGAGTGATTGCTGTCATTTTAGGTTTATTGATCGAAGTCTCCATAGTTAATTAGAGTACATGATAAATTATTACTTGAATATGATACCCTCATTATTAGTAGTTATTTAAGAATAATGGAAACGGATTCATTTATTTAGAACCTGGAACAGTAAAGAGCAAGATTACAGTATGAGAAGACATCGTTGCAACGAGAGAGTACCTAATGATTGAAAAAATTAGCGTGAAAAAAAATTTGGGAGTTTTTGTCGACAAGGAGCTGAAATTCTCTAGGCATATTTAAACGCAAGCTAATAAATCCAATAAACTTCTTTTCAAACGCTCCTTTGAGTTCTAAGATGCAGAAACGATAAAGTTGTTAGTCGCTGTTGTGAGCCCGAACCTAGAGGCTAGAGTTTGCAAACGCCATGCGGACCAAACTCGACTTGAAAAAAACCTTGAAACAAAACTTCCACTTGAAAAGGACGTAAATTTAGTAGGGAGCATTCAAAGACGTGCAACAAGGATAATTCCAGGCTTGAAGGGCAAGTCCTATGAAAAAAGATAAAAGATTATGAAGCTTCCAAGCCTCAGTTATCGACGTCTGCGTGGGGACCTCATTGAAGTATACAAGTATGCTCATGGTTTATACAAGGTCCCTGAAGGAGTATTAGTATTTGAAACAAGAACCAACACCAGGGGCCACAGCTATAAACTAAAAAAACTACGCTGCAACTTGTCCACGCGACAACATTTCTTCTCGCTTCGAATCACCGACATGTGGAACAGCCTCCCCGATTACATTGTTGGCGCTCCAGTATGAACGAGTTGAAGAACAGACTAGATAAAGCTATGGTCTATGGAGAAATATATATGTTAAGATTTGAAATGCCTAGCACCATATCGAACCCGGTGGAAGTCTGGTAGCTATTTCAAACTATCGTCAGTTTCGAAGACCCGGTCAAAGGACCTGTATTCAGATCTCATGTGAAAAAGTCACGAATAGTACAAGAATCGGCGACAGGTCACATCAGGCCATTCTTCAGCGCCGACATCACTATGTTATGATATTAGAAATTATTTATTTGAAGTTCGATCGCCCTGAAATGTGGGGCGAGTGAGGAAGCTTGTAACGTAGGACAGCATAGACCTGTTGCGTACAACGCTATGGAATATTGTATCTCAATTTCTTTGAGTGTATTGTTGAATGAATTTAGAAGGCGAAGGCGGGTGCTTAACCTCGACGTTCGAGTACGTAACCTTTCATTTGCAGGATTAAGTTCTGCGGTGTCAGTTTCTATTTGAGTATTAGACCATATTGACTTTTATGCGATTCTAAACAACCCGGCAACCTTATCGATTTCGAACTCAACTTTCACGAGCACATGCAAGTTTCGACCACCCAACTCGTTGCTCCAATCTTCATCACACTACTCGGCAAAAACGAGCTATTATTGACCTAAACGTACAAAATACTCACTATTCTTTTATGCGTCATTGACCGCTTTGCTTACAATTGTCCAGTACTGGTTTTCGTAACCCTAGAAACAAATATGGCGTACGAAATATGTTATTAAATCACTCGTTGGCATCCCCGAGGCTCGTTGCCACGTGTGCGACGATGCGTTTGTTAGGAGCGAGTCTGTGGGGAAACACGAGAAAAATGTACGAGTCCACCAAAAAGTGTAATTTTCTCGTGTAAAAAAGTTTCTTTCCAAAAATTGAATGCCAATGGCAATACTGAGATATATGAAAGAGAAACTTCACCCATGAGACGCATCTGCTATGTTATATAATATATTATTTACATATATTATTAACTTCCTTGTATAACATATAAAATACACTAAACCTATCTCTGTTCAACAACAACTGTTGAATGTGATTCAAAAATCATTTATGCTCTATTATTTTGTAAAAGAAAAATTCGAAAAATTTCGAAGCACTGAGATGCATTGCCAAAAGGAATATCATTCACCAAGTTATCGCTATGATATAATTGGCTGAGTCGCCAGTGGAGCACAATCGCCGGCATAAACATTCGACCTCACGAGGTTAGTTTGGCCGAGTAATTCAATGATTCTAGCATAGGGAAATATGCTTCGTTTTAGCAAATATATGAATATTTTTAAAATTATTGTGAATTCCCGACGCACGTAAAGTGGCACATATGCGGGTTAATTTCATCTTCTGACATCGTAGCCCTAGGCGCTTCACAACGCAGGCTCACAAAAATTTCGCAGAAAAAGTATAAGATAATACGTAACTTTGCCCTGTAGACACATTTTCATATGTATGACTACTGAGCACTTCGGAATGTAGAGAGATTCCACCTGCAATTGTATCCCAGACTAAAATATTCTCACCTACTGCCTCGCCATCGCAAGCATTATTACGCAGCACAGTTCAGTATCATGACTACATCGGTATAGTTTGGCAGAATATTTTCTTTAATGCAGGTTTCATTGAAGACCAGAGAGTAATGCTTCTTCTAACTTTTTTCAAGTTAGAAGAAGCATTAAACATTGAAATTTTGGTGGAAATAAGTACATAATATAAGTAAATAGGATACAGCAGTAAAACTTTGGACCAAAAATTACTCGGAAAATTCTTTCAGAGTTCAGACAAATCCGGTAGTCAGAAAATAGATAGCTGGAGTCCAATCTGTAGAGATTAGGGGTTCAGCTATCGCCGGCCGATTGTTGTCGGGCCACTGCATGATCACGATGCTGATGAGTACCTTTAGCACGATGCGAGTGACGGTGTAAAATATCATGACTATGAGCACATAATAAAAGTTTGTGAGTTTGTCGATGTATTTAACGCCATTTCACCCTAAAATTTAAAAAATCTAGTCATTATTAAACAGGTATCGCCTGATTGATGTCGCCTTCTAGCCACCAGATGTAGTAAAATTTTTAGTGCGATAAAGCATGGATCCAATAAGATTTATATAGTTTGAAAAATCCATGAAATACTTCTTACATATTATTATTCCAAAAACATGAATAACTCCCGCATTTTAAAGTGATTAATAAGAATAAATGCAGACGGGCGATAAGGGTTTGAATTTTCCAGAGGAGAGAAAACTCGTGTGAAAAATAATCGAATACATCGCAGGTTAAATTTCCTGTGTTGAGTTTCCTAAAATTCACATGATATATAAATATATTTCTGTTGTGGCTATAGAGCATGTGAATATACTACAATATAATCATCAATATGTAGTTGATCAATATTACTGCTACCGATAATCAAACGATCGAAACGCTGGAGAAATATGAGGATATCAGTCCAGTGCTTCTTCATGACCGGAAGATATAAATATCAGCGGCATCTTGGGTACGGCAATAATTTATTACGGTAATAAATTATCGCCGTACTGTTTTCGGTGATACATTTTATTGATGGCAGATAGCGCTGGCGATGCCACCTAATATTAAATTATAATTTTAATCTCAAAGCCACTGCTGCTGATCAGTGATTATGCACTGAAAATCGGTGTTTTCTTCTGTGCGAAAAACAAGTACCATGGAGTCAGGCAGCGAAAAAATTTGCAATATTTCTTAGAAACGACCAACTTATTTGGGATATTTGACTAAATAATATAGTAATATAGGAATTTGGTATGTGAAAAGAATTGCTGAAAATTGCCGAAGAAGTAAAACCACCGAAAGATTCGATAACTTTATCCTAAACTAAACTATTCCCACGTCACACAGAGGCTGCTCAAGTAAACGGAACAGTTCTCACCTTATTACTTTGTAGGCAGTGATTTTATAGACAGCGTCATCAATTACCTTCGCTGAAACGCATGAAAAAAAAACGAGATTTATGTGGGGAGCCTTAATTTCTCTGAAGCCTATATATATAATATATATATGAACACTCGCGTTGCAGTATTATTTTCTGGACAACTACAGGAAATAGTTTCCCAATAAATATATATTTATATATAATCAAAAGTAATATATTTCGGATCAATAACATTCTGTCGTGACTTTATTGTGCATCATCTGTGTTACAATTTGTCAATAAATAATCAATTTTTATTCAAGGAATAAATTTGAATGAATATGCCATCAAATAATTTAGATTTGCCAATATTTTCTGGATTTTTTAACAGTTTTGATGGGGTTTGTATAAAATTTTATGGCTTCTGCAAAATTTCTATGAAAAATTTAATGTTGCATCCGCTCCCGCGCTATATCTCATGGCGCAGCATTATTTGAGTCTCGCAGCATTCGGCCTTATTAACGAACAGGAATTACTGATTAACCAGAGGTAAACTACTGCCCTTGTATATTGGATTTAAAAGCAATTGTTCTTGTTATGACATATCAAAGAGGGCAATCGTCAGATAAAATACTAATATATTCTGCTTATGAGTTTGCAGCTTAGCTTTTTTATGGTATTCATATCAATTTTTAATCTAATAGGTTATTGTCTATCACCAGATGAGAGATCTCGTATAACTATTTCAAACTGCAAAACTAGTATGAGAAAGATTTTGGCTCATATCTTTATTAGAATTGCGGATTGAGGTGGCACTAAATACACGAAAAAAAACTCATTGCCTCATGTTTTGTTCGCGTGATCTTGATAATGAACCGAGATGCACAATTATGTTTGTGACGACAGCGGTGAGAATAGTTTAGTTTGGGATACAATTGCTTGCCGAGGTTCTACACATTTCCAGAGTATTCAGTAGCTATGTTTAGGAGACAACGTCAGTCGGTAACTTGACTAAATAATAAATTAGGGCGGCAATACTTCAGTCGGTGATGCGCCTCATCTTACGGAAGTAAGTAAATATTAACCTTGATTTATACTGATGTCATTTACGAAAGCATGGCGCTTATAAGTGCATAGGCCTTACGGGAAAGGTTGATATAGCTGAGTCCAAAGAAATGTGACTATATTATTTAGGAAGCGCACTATAACTTCAAATGATTGTTTAAGGAAAGCATGGGCGTCTCTTCTAT